AACTAATTCGAAGCTTCCAAACAGAATTCACATACGCTGTATTTGCTTGACATTGCAAGTCTCTGTGGGTGATTCCACACTAGACCTCAAATCCTGGTCCAACCCCGAACTTCCGAACTTACATTCTACACTACACTCGAGTTCACCCCTGTAATTACCTCGGAGTATTTTCTGTTTCCACGTTACGTTGAGGTCACCCCGGTTTTGGCCCACACTTGTCCCGGGATAAACAGATGCTTTTATAATTTCTTGCTTTCGAGCTGCTAGGTTGGCAGGAGCTGGAACAGTAAGTTAGGTTTAAGTATCACATTGCATAGTGTCGGAACGTGTCTCTGATAGTTAATGGGTCACACAAATAGCAGTGGCTGACCCAAGGTTTCTCTGTTTGGCCAGAAACACGCCCCCACGATGCATCGGTGCCCGGGGTGGACAATCGAAATCTCCCCCTTCTCCAATGCCAAAAATATGAGAATAAGCTTTAAATCATGGACTTGTTTTCCTCGAAGGTTCTGTAATTACTGGTTCTGCATTCAGCCTTGCTTTTTGCAATGTGGCTTGTCACATCTGCAGAAACGTTTCTGTGTATCTCAAAGCTGCGAGTGGAAAGCGGGTTTTTTAAAACAATCCAGATCCAGTTTGTCGCAGAGTGACCTGAGCCGGTCCCAAGGGCTTTGTGAGTCATTCCCCATCCACAAGCACTCTTCTCCCCCCCCCCCCCCCCCCCTCCCCCGCTTAAAAAGCATACTGGACGTCTTGATCCGGTCTCCACACAGGTACCTTTGAAGGTATGAAGTTGCCTCATACTGGATTGGACTATCAGTGCACCAAACCCAGCATGGTCTCACCAGCTGTGGCCCCCTGGGGACTCGGGCAAAGGAGGTTCTTCCCCGCCAGCTGTTGCCTGAGATCCTTTGACTGCAGCGGACAGGGATCGAACCCGAGATTCTCTGTATGCAAAGCACCTGCTCCACAGCTGTGCCACAGGCCCCTCCCAAGGGCCTATCCCGTCCAACTTTCATCTGTTAGCCAGTTTGGTGTAGTGGTTAGGAATACAAACTCTAATCTGGGAGAGCCGGGTTTGAGTCCCCACTCTTCCACATGCAGCCTTGGGTCAGTCACAAGTTCTCTCAGAGCCGTTCTCTCATGAGCCGTTCTCGAAAGAGCTCTCTCAGCCCCGCCGACCTCCCAGGCAGTGTTCCCTCTAAGCTGAGTTAGTGTGAGCTAGCTGGCAGCTTTGTAGCCTCCGGCTCACACATTTTTGTCTTAGCAAACTAATTTATGCAGTAGAAAATAGTTCGCTCGCAACTTCAGTGCCAGTAGCTCACAAAGTAGAATTTTTGCACACAAGATTATTCCACAGCTTCGAGGGAGCATTGCTCACAGGGTGTCTGTTGTGGGGAGGGGGAGGGAAAGGAGATTGTAAGCCGCTCCGAGATTCCTTCGGGTAATGAAGGGCGTGGTATAAATCCAATCTCCTCTTCCTCCTCCTTCTCTGTGTTGCTTGGCACAGCTTACCTGCATAACTAGGCAGCTCTGAAGAGTAGATATTTGCATCAGCCACAGCCTAGAATCCACAAAAGGTGCTTTGCCAATATTCCGGGGGCAGCTGTGCGAAACATCTGGTGGTTTCCTTGGAGGACCATAGGGCCGACTGTGTTGCTTACGCATGAGAGATACAGAAAGGAAACTGTGCTGAAGCTTAATAGGGAAAAAATCATTAACTTTGAGGCAGAGGGCCATAAAGACTTTGAGACATAAATATCCATTTCAGTATTGGGTCTAAACAGCAAAGCGGATCATAATTTCTGTTCTCTGGGCTCTCTCTCGCCGCAGAATACTTTTTCGAGCATTCGCTTCATCTTCCAAGGTGCACGCACTCTCCAGTCTTGGATGTATGCATCTGTTTTTCATAACGCACGTCTAAATTGAATGCCTCTCTGATTGGAAACAGCGTGTTTTTATGCGGAAGAAGCATGAGACTGGAATGCCTTGGAATTATCCTTCCTGTCTTATTATTTGTGCAGCGCCGGCAAAGGCCCCAAGGAGACTCAGTTGTCTTGTCGGATGCATTTTAGTCTCCTCTGTACAGGCAGGTTCAGTGCAAGGTATTCGGTCACCGAAAGCAAGGACACTGGGGGTGTGCATTTGGGTCTACCTGAGCTGAAAATATACCCGAAAGATACCTTATCAGTAGTTTTCGGGTGTATTTCGGCTTCCCGAATGTATCCGAGTTTTCTTGGGAAAATGGGGGGGGGGAGTCCCGAGAGAATTCCGAATATATTCAGGAATTACCGGGAGATCCTAAAACAGTGAAGAGGCAAGAGCAATCTGGTTAAACAACACCACAGGAGAAGCCAAGCCAGCCCCAGGATCAGGCTGGGTTTTTTTGGTTAAACTGGTGTTTTTCTTCTCGGGTCTTTTGGACCTGAAAAAATTCGGTACTTCTGAAAAACCCCAGATCTGAATACGATACTGGTATTGGGATCTGGGATTTTTCAGAAATACTGAAATATTTTCAGGTCCCATAGATCGAAACCAAAAAAATACTGGTTTAAAAAAATTGCATAGTCCACAGGACCACGGAAACGTCTTCGGACAGCGCTGGCTCTTCGGCTTGGAAACGGAGATGAGCATTGCAACCCTAGAGTCGGATTCGACCGGCTTTCGAGCAAGGGAAACCTTTACCTAAAGGGACACCGTTTGCTTCCATGTGGTGCATTGGCCCCCCTCCTTGTTGTGCCCCTCCCCACAAGCAGTCACTTGAGTGGCTCTCTATTTCTAGCCCTCTACCCTGCTTAGACTTGGTGCGATATTTGAGCAAGTCACCGTGTCG